CACACACACACACACACACACACACACACACACACACACACACACACACACACACACACACACACACACACACACACACACACACACACACACACACACACACACACACACACACACACACACACGTACACACACACACACTGGTTGTGGTTTGCATATATTGATTCGATTGAGGATATTCTCACTTGGGCAATGGTCTGCAGCTGTTGCCTTTGCCGCTGACATTTGGCCCCACAGCCAGTTTCCAGTTAGAGGAACTTGCCCATTTTTTTCGTCGCCGTTGCGGACGGCGAGATCCATTTGTGTGCGGGAGATGACAATGACAGATTGCCCGAACATGGCCGAAATGCAGCCGTTCCCGCAGCAGGTCCTTGTCGGTATACTGGTGCCCGCAGGCAGGAACGCTTGCCTTCTGTGCTTGGGGGTTTCGAGCGTTCCAAGGCTGGGTGCATTTTTCAGGGCCCACCAAAAAGGAAGTTGCTTGAGACTTTGGTTTAGTTTTTCTAAAACCCTAGACCTCCGGACCTATACCTTGTACCAACTGTAGCCCAAGGTGTCTTTGGACGACTACTTTGGGCCTGTACCAACTGGAACGCCTTGTCTTTCTTGGCTTCTGGCTGCTTGCAGGTCAGGTCCCGGCGATGAACTTCCCGGCGCAGAACTTCCAGGCGATGGCGGCCCCTGCCTTTTATGCCGCTCAGTTCCATCAGGAAGTTCGATTGTCCAGGAGGTTTGCCACTGGGATTTCCATCAGACATTTCTATCAGGACGCACCAAGAAGCTTGGATTTCCCAGGTAGAATGAGGTTTGGATGTTGGACGGTTCATTGTTCATTATACCTCGCGAGGGGTCATACAAGTTTCAGCTTGCCCTCCTCTCCAAAACCTGAAAGTGGTGTGGATAAGAGGGTTCCCCCCATGAGCTACTATGTTGAGGGGACACATGGGGTATACTGCCGCCGTGCTAGGGTCGATTTTTGCAACCTCAAGCAAGCAGGTGGGAAAGAGCACCTTACCAGTTGGGTACCCATTCAAGTCATTCAGAAGAAAGACGCGCCCACTTCCGGGAAGCGTGGGGTTCTCATGCATTGAGCTGAGGCCAAGCCTGAATACCTCTACGTGCCGCAACAATTGCCGGTGCCCATGCAGGACTTCCGGTCAAATGGTAGGGTACGCCTCTCCAGCCCGAGGGTCGGCTCGGGGCACCTTGGGTTACATCTCGACAAGGTCCGTGAAAATCCCTGCGGGTCCCGAGTGGGAACACCCCGACCCAAGCCTGTGTTTAGAACGGCCCGCGGTGTTTGTTGACCTTATCATGAGAGGATTTTTGAATGACCTTGGGCCTGGGACAACAGGGTCCCCTTGAAGGTGAAATCCTGAATGAGTGCCTAAGCTCTTCGTTCGGGTATGACAATCATTTGTTCTCCCTTGCCCAAGGCAGTGACATGGATAGCAACTAGGCAATTGGTGTTAGCCGGCTGGAAGATTTCATGGGCCGTCGGTGTGGGCGCCGGAAGACCTTTTGAGGACAAGAGGTGTTCCACGGACAGTCATACACACTGACGACATCAGGATTTCACTGGACGGAAATTAGGGGGTCCCTATCGATGGCCCCACGTGGGTAGTCCCTATCGATGGCCCCACGTGGGTAGTCCCTATCGATGGCCCACATGGGCAGTCCCTATCGATGGCCCACATGGGCAGTCCCTATCGATGGCCCACATGGGCAGTCTCTATCGATGGCCCTGCGCCTGCCACGAAATCTGTACTTGAGCTTGCGTGTGAACAAAATGCTGCGCCTGCCACGAAATCTGCACCTCAGGTTGCCAAAGTGCTGCGCCTGCCACTCGATTTGCGCTTTCGCCTCTGTCTTTCTGTCTCTCTTTCTCCTATCTATGACCTGACCTTGCGAAAGGGCTGCGCCTGCCACGAAATCTGTGCTCCATCTTGCGAAAGTGCTGCGCCTGCCACGAAATCTGCATTTGACCTTGCGTGGGAACAAAAGGCCTGCCACGAAATCTGCACCTCAGGTTGCCAGAGTGCCGCGCCTGCCACGCGGTTTGCACCTCCTAAACAGTCTGCGCGGCCGTGCCATTGGGGAACTTTCCCCACCCTTCGCGATTCGGTCGGGCTCTATCTTCTGATTCTGATCAACTCTGCAAAACTATCTTCCTATCTTGTGACACCGGAAGTTTTCTAATTAAACTTCCTTTGATGATTTCCACCCCAAACTACCTCCTCAGGGTTTCGAAGGACAGCGCAGCCACTATTTAGCTACTATACAAAGGGTCCTGGCAGCTGCGGGTGGAACGGCTCCTGGATTTGTAGAGATTTTTTCTGGTGTCCTGGTGGTTTCTCATCTTCTTGTGCCCATCAAAGGGCTGAGAGACAACGATATTTGCCGCAGGAGAGCAGCAGCCATGACAGCTTGCAGGTGACACCTCGCAGCCCAGTAAGGCGCAACAATCGGCTGAGTGGACAGGGGCTGCCCTTGGGAGCCTTAAAGTGGGAGTGCCGTTTATAGAGGGTACCCTTTCTGGGGCAGGTTTAAAGGGAAAGCAAGAGGACACCATCTCTTCTGGAGGCAAACAATTTTGGAGGCAAACGCAAGTGGCGATTTGAGTCGATCACGCGTCAAAAGTGGTAGACCACTTTATCCCCACCGAATTCTGATGTCCACCAAAGGGTGCCTATGGAATTAACCATATTTCCCAAGTGGGAAATACATGTCTCCAAATTACGCAGGTCCCGGTGGTGTCCCTTTCACCCTTCGACTTCGATGCCGACTCGGCGTTTTCCCTCTAACATGGGACACCTGTGTCAAACATGCTATCCTCACCTGTTCTTTTTCATCACTTTCCATTTTAGGAGAGATCTGATGTGAAGGAAGGGTGGCACTGAACATCTCCTGAAAACCAGCGGGAACTCTGTAGAATCTATGGCTACCTGCTCCAAACTTTTAGGTTTCCTCTTCAAACCACCCTTCTCCCTCCAGCGCCCTCCGCTCCGAATGTCTCTGGAGTCCATTTGGGCAGAGACCCGCAAGCTTTCGGCTGTTTGCGACAAAAAGGTACCAACTCCCAAAAAACAACACACCCATGTGAGCAAATGTGGAACTGTGCCAGTGGTTGGCTGCCAATAATTAAGTTACCTTGACCAAGAGCTGCATATTTCCCCTTGAACTCCACCCACCGAAAAGGAAAGTCACAAATCAAATTGGCGAAGGGTGATATTCCAAAAGGTGACCTTGGCAACCAAAGGTGTTCCAAACCAATGCAGAAACCTACTCCAACCCTGCCCGAGTCTTGTTGCGCAAGTTGCAGGCAGTACTCCCCGGAGACGGCGGACACCGCAGACACGGCCGAGCGCCCGCGTCTCAGCACCTCCGCGGCCCGGCGCATGCGCCGGAAGCGCGCGGCGGAGCGCGCGGCCTTAGCGCTGGAGCAGCAGCGGGCGGAGCGGGCGCCCAACCCGAAGGCGCTCGAAGCACATTTTGGGCAGTCGGGGGCGGGGGTGGCCGGAATTCTGGGAGGTGGCCTTGTGTGTGTGTGTGTGTGTGTGTGTGTGTGTGTGTGTGTGTGTGTATGTGGGGGATTGTTGTGGAAGTCCAAAAAAGGACGAAACAATCCCCGCGGAATGTCAGACAACATTTAACTTCAGAGCTTTAGGGGCTTCTAAGGGGAGGTAGGTGGGGTTTTGGTGGGAAGGGGCCCTGCTCAGCCGTTTGAGTGATCGGATATTGTTCAGTGAATCAGTCCCCTAAGCGGATTGTATGAAGGTCTCGAGGCTAGTTGAAGAAAGTAGATGGGTGCGTCTGTCTGTTCTTGAGAACCCCCTTTTTTGGCGAAATTTACATGTGACAGGGTAGAATCTTCACCTGATCTCCAATTCCACACCTAAAAATTACCAGTTGATGCGGCATACCAAGGTTCTACTATTTGCAAAGACCCCATAGCTTTCAACTGTTGGGGACCCATCTTAGAGTCTCTCTTGGTGGCTCCTAGCCATCCCCTTAGCTTCTTAGGTTTTCAGTTGGAAAAAAGCGGTAGTTTCCATTCAACGCACTAGTCAAGCTTGCAGCAGGGGATCAGAGTGAATCTAAGCCGAAGCGGCCCAGGTGCGGAGTGACTCCATCAGCTCGCGGCCGGGCGGCATTGAACTAGGCCCCTCCCTTTTTTGTTTTAAACGGCACATACATTTGGTGCCAACAGGATACCATACCCACTTTCACTTTTCTTAAATCAAATAAAAGACAAACTACGAACTTGACACCAACAGATACCATCCATGGTTGTGGACGTTCTGTGATGCCGACCAGCTCCGTCAGGGGAACGGGTGTCAAACCACCCTATGAGGGTGCAACAAATCGCGTTTTGAGGCCATCGGCCACTTGCGAGTGGGGACGCCTCTTAGTGACACTCACTTCGTAGGTTGCTCTTAAAGGAACCAGTTCCTCTACGAGGATTCCTTTGGCCAATCACAGTGCTAAGCCCAATTTGGGTGTGTCTCCTTTTAGGGCACCCAACATGTTGGCTCTCCTTTTGGCAGCCTTTTGAATCACACATGGAATCCCTCAAAAACGACACACCCATTTTCCACAGCCATGTTCTGGTTCGAGGCTTTGGTTTTGCTGGGTTTGGACTCAGGGGCCATATGGATTTCTGGGTTCGCACAGTTTTGCCAAACAGCCCAAATAAGATAGGCGAGAAGTTTAGCTTGAAAGCGCCGGCAACACGAGGAACAAAGGGTCCAATCGCCATAGTGGGGATGATCTTACGCCGAAAGGGGAGGACAACGGTTCCATCCGTGATTGCAAGCCCAGAAGCCAACGCTCAAACTAAGCTGTGAAAAAACGGGGCTGGAGTGCGGGCTTTGGTCGGGATATGGGTGTGTCACTTTTCGGGGACTCCAAAATGGTGGTGTTCCTGTAGGTTTTCCTTTGGGGACCACAAAAGGAAGGGCGCCTTCAAAAAAAAGACACCCACGTGGAGTGAATCGGAGGATCTTGGAGCAGAGCGAGAGGCTTCGGCAGCAGTTGGCCAGCGGAATCGCTGACGAAGTTCAGGAAGCACTGGCCACGGTCCAGGGCCACGTTTGGCAGTTGTCCCAGCATGCCACAGGCGCGGATCGAATTGGAAAAGGAGCCCCCAGCTTTTTTCTCTTTTTTGTGGCGGCAACTCCAGGTTTCGATTTTCGAGCAAATATCAATAGGGGTCATGCTCAATCAACTGTGCTCGTGGACTTTTGCCCCCTCTCTTTCAACATTCAGGGATTTGTCTAGCAAGCCTCAAGAACTCAACCAGGGACGAAACAGTTGGGGCTTTCCCTCCAGAACGGAGGTTGTCACCAAACTGATCAATGGACGCTTCTCCTTTTCAGGTGGTGTGGCGGAAGCAACACCTGTGCGGTGAATGAACGTAAAAGTCACGAGTTTTTTGGGGATGTACCCCTTGGCCTTAGGAAACTGGGGATAGCCGCTTCAATGGGGGTAGAGGTGGCACCATCGGGTCAACCCCAGTTCTCCAGTCCAGCACATGGACGTGGGGAATTTGGTGGAATTTCGTGTCTTTTTCCGGTTTGCCCGTGGAGATTTCAAGTGGATTTCTATTTCAGACCCTTTCTCACCGGGTACAAGGGGTTTAAAGCTGTAGCTTCTACGATTCTACAACCATGCTGAGAACGAAATCCGAAATCCTATATGCGGGACAAACCACCTACCAACTGGTACCTTTCCTCCTGATTACTATGGTCCATGGTTTCATTCGGTTGACTCTTCCTTCCTGGTTACCCCAACTGCTTTCTCCTAACCAGAACCACCCCAACTGGTTGCCCGGGTGAAGCTCCTTACCCACAACTCCCCACCTCGTGCGCTAGGATGCCGACTGGTACAGCTCGCCTTGGACACCCACATGGCCCCGCTGCTGGCGCGGGAGTTGCACGGCCACGTGCAGGAAGCTGCGGTGTCCCCGCACGCCAACTACGTCGTGCAGAAGGCGCCTGATTCCGATTTCTTTGGGGGCTGTGTTTGGGGCTGCCGGTGGGTGTTGTTGTACAGTTCCCACAATCCTCCTTGGACCTCCAGATGTGGCCTGGATGGGGGGTGGGCGTAACGTTTCACCAGCAGTGTCAAACTTTGTTGCTGGGTTTACAGCAACCTTGAATTGGTCCATTTCACGCGGGCATGCCGCTTTCAAAGTCTGAATGTAGATTGAAACCCTTTAATGGACTAATTATCCGTTGATTATTCCATGGATATGGCCACCTGACGATAGGGATGCGGGATAGCTTGGTTGAAGAGGCCATTTTTTTACCCCGTGTTCAACCCTTGTACATATGGTTCCTGACCGTTGGAGGCAAATACTTAGGGATTTTGCACAACCGCTTTAATTTCATTCGTTCTCATCTATCCTGCAATCATCAATAACCTTCCTAGGACTGCCCAATTGTTTTCTTTGGTTTGCCGCTATACGAACCCAAAAGGTCGATGGTTTTTCCGTTTTTCCCTTTGGCATTTGTTATCCTTGGTTTCCCTTTAGTTTGCACTGCCCTTTTCCGGGTTGTGAAACAACTCCGTGGTTTTCTGGTCAACCCACCCCCCCCAAAAAAATAGAAAGATACTATCAGGGCCTTTTTGTTAATGGGTATTACAAGGTCCTAACAGGCACCAACTCCCCAAAGGCTTGCGCTTGTTCTTAGTTGGAAATCTGGCCATGGGCCTGTCAAGTATTCCCAATTCCCCAACAACATGCAACAACCGGCCCCTACGTCCACGATGTAAACACACATTTTTTGGGCCCATTTTGCAGGAACTCAATTGAAAGGCCGTTTCTTTGAGGGGGTCTTTTGCTTTGGACATTCCGCAAGTAAGGCACAAATTAAGTTGGTGGTTTGGATTGTTGGTTTGCGGATTCACTGTATGTAGCCCTGGTTTTTGTAATAAACCACTCCTTAGCCTCTAAACCGTGAATCCAAGAATTGGAGGGAAGCGGACTTCTTTTGGAGCCACCCCAAGCATGTCACACTCAACAATTGGGAGGACATACTTTCAGAATGGGGTTGTGTGGTACTTTATGCCATTTTAGGGCATGTTCAGAAGATAATGATGTATGGAAGCATTTGGCCCCGGTGCTATGTACACAAAGATTTACCCTTTGACCCGCCTCAGCAAGGCCTTAACCTCCTTCCGGACCAAAGCACGCCATGTACAACTCCAAACGGCAAAGAGTGATTCACATGTCCTTTTGCATCCGTTTCAGATGCTTAACTCTCCTGAATCTTGCCTCAATTCCCAAAAGCAAGCCATTCGTTCAACAGGTTTGGATTCATTCAAAAGTATCATCATTCAAGCCATGAAGGCATTCGGCGCAAGCCCAGCCCAACCTTTTGTCCTTGCAAAGCATTTTGCTCAACGGACACAACACCTGCGAAGGCAGAACTCTGTCGGGAGGAGCAAGTCTCTGACCCCGGGCCACCAAATTGTGCCAGTTTCTCCAGAAAACAATCAAATGTACCAGGACTTCCAGAACCTTCTGATTGAAATGGAGATAGAATAGATGGATTGGACCCATCTTGAGAGTTGCAGAAGTCTCAAGAAGCCAGGGACAACGAGGCTTCCTCCAGAACCACCAAGTGCGATACCTCCACTCGCAGTTCCAGGACCTCTCCAAGAAGCGCCCCTTTGATGTAACAACCAACGCAGCCGAAGTCGATGCTACAGCAGACAAGAACATCACGGACGCGCCAGACAGCAGACTCACGTCTCTGGAAGCGTCCAGGGCTCGCCGGGCAGCACTCCTCAAAGGACTGCTAGCATTTGGATTTAACAGATCGTTTCTGGGCAACAGCCCGCCTTTCTTCCTCCAGCAAGCCTCTATTCCAAAAGAAGCAGTAGGTTGCTATGCGCAACCACATGATGAGACACGGTCGATAACCTTACTTGTTACGCCTCCAACCTTCCGTTCATGCTAGACTTCATGTCTACTCCTCCCCACCCCGCCCAACCCAACCCGACCTGCAAGCCCAACCCACCCGAATTTGCAGGGTTGGGCGACTTGGTTGGGTTGGGTAGCTCAGGTCGGTTGGCTTGGTACCCACCCCTTCCCCCCAAGCTGAGCTGGCCGTGGGTCAAAATCCAAATCGTACGCCCAGTCAACATCCCAATCCCCACCAAAATAGACCCAAAATGGAAGTCCCCTAAAAAAAAGGATCCAATCACCTACCCCAAAATGGGCTGAGCTGTCAGGTGGTGAGCTCCCTGACCTTCGCCGCCTCCAGCTTCGTGGCCCGGGAGCTGCTGGGCTCCTGTGCTCGCCTGGCCAGGCACCGCTACGCCTGCCGCGCCGCGGCTTGAGGTAAGCCGTTCTTCTACTTGGCTCTTTGGGGTAAGCTTCCGAGTGGTTCTTCTTTTCCGCTTTTCCTAGTCTTCTGTTTGTGTTTGACATGTCTTGAGTTGAGGTGTCTGATTTTGTTTTGTTTAGCTGGATGGCTGGCTGGTTGGGTCGGTTGGCAACATCGACATGATGTTGGTGCTGTGTTTGGGTTCTTGTATCCTTACTTGTGTTGTATTTTTGCTGTGTTGTGTACATGTTGTTGGTTGTTCGGTTGGTTGGTTTGCTTAGTTTGTTTGTTTGATGGTTTGATTTGTTTGATTTGTTTTGCTGTTAGAATTACATTACATTTGTGTGATTCTTTTTTTGTGTGTGTGTGTGTGTGCGCCTTAGTTTTGCTTGTTCGCTTCTTTGTTTGTTTGCCCCTGCTCGGTTTTCCTTATATGTTGTTTCATTATTGTTTGATCGATGGATGTTTTTTGGAAGCGACGAGAACTACCACCGATGCAAGTTCTTGCCTTCCTCCTGCGTACCAACAGTTTGGGCCTTGTTTTGTGTTGACACTCTATTTAGCTTGCATTTTGTGGCCGCCAGTTTTTGTCTGTTTGTCTTGTTTGATTCTAGGAGGTGTTTTGATTTGTGTGTGTGTTTCCTGATTGCTTGCCAATTGAGTTTGCATTTGTTTTTTATTGTTGCTTATGTTGTTCTTCTTTTTGGGAGAGGGCCAACATATCTTTTGCTTGGCCTTAGTTTTTTTGAACAGAACACCTGATACGGGCCTTGTTTGTGCTTCTTGCGCCCGTCGCTCTCCTTTGCAAGGCCAGTCAAGCCAAAGCCGTCTAGTTTTAGCCAGGACAGATAACGGATCACATTTATCAATCCAGGATTGACTTGGGTTGCTAGGCAGGTCACTAGGCTAACTCATATTGGGAGTGAGCTTTCAAGGTGAGGGTTCAAACTTTGACTCATACGCACCCAGAAATTGAGAACCCCAGTTGGGGAGAGATCTTGTCAAGTCCCTGCAAAATGGCGGGCTCCCCACTTTTGGGCGTTTGGTTGCCTTGATCAACAAGGGAACTGTGCAGTGCATTTGTTTTTTTTTCATGGCTCGATTCTCCGCGTTTGTTCCAGTTCAGGGTTGTTTCCTCATTTGGAGCCAATTCCATAGGGACACTAGTCACTGCCCGAAATCTGTGCTCCAATAGTCCCCCCCCCCGTTCTGTGATACTCTGCAGAAGAGTAACCAGGGGACCCAGTCAACGGGCTTAGCGGGTTCCGATCGCTTGCGCCAAAGGACAATCATGTGTACAACCTCCGCGAAGCACCCACTTGTCAGAACCCACCGCGGGTCACCCAAGAGTTCAACAGCACCTTTTGGTTGCTCACTTTTTGGTTTCGATTTGTAAGGCTTCTTTTTGGTGGGGGTTGATTCCACAGCCCAATCCCAGCCCCCCCCCCCTTGCACCCCCCAGCCCAGCCCAGGCATTTTCTGCCGCCTCTTGGAGTATCTTGGCATGGCCTGGCCTAGATTTGATTTGAGAGTTGGTAAGGTGCTGAAAATGACCTTGAGCAAAAGACCTTGAGCAGGTCCTAAAAGTCGGGGTGCCCCGGATATAGATTCATAACCTGTGCAACTGAGCCATAGAAGTGGTGACCCCAAGATTAGTTCAAATCTGGCAAATAACTGGCCCCTGATCAGTTTGAGTGAATCTATTTTTGACAATACCAACCCATCCTGCTCCAGAGCTGCGGCTTTTGTGGATTCAACCCAGGTGAATCGAACCACTTTCGAACTGAGGCAAGCCCGAAACAGTACCAGGAGAAGGCTGATTGCCAGGGTTAGCCACCAAGCACACAGCTCACTCCGTTGGGAAGATGAAGTGGGGATAGCCTCGTGAGGCGTCTTTGGGTCTCTCCTTGGGGTTTCCTTCGGAAAGTCCTGTGTCCAAACCAGAAGATTCCCACAGTGATGCCAGAGAAAGTGCACCTAAATGTTTTTGAGGGAAGGCGTGAAGATAGGGTCACAGGCATGGACAGGCAATATTGGGGACCTTCCACCAGATCTGAGGATTGGCGCTTTTCTTTTTCAACCTGAAATAAATTTCAGATTCCCGCAAGTGGAATCTGATTCCTCTTGGGATGCCAAACTTGTCCCGAGACAAGGCATCGTGGGCATAGGTCCCCAAATAAATGATGTCCAAAGGGCCATCTCCGTTCTCAATCAAGATTCGCACACACAAGCGAATTTGGGGCCAAGTGCCACCAAAGAGACTGCAAAATTTGAAAGGATCTGGGACTTGTGCTGATTGACGAGCTTCACGACCTGGATGTGAGCTGAGGTTCTGCGGTCAGCGTGACCTCACGCTCCAGCTCATCGATGAGCTTTTGGAGGAATGCGAGGCAAAACCGGGTTTGGGGAAACCAAAGCTGAGCCTTGTGAGGGCAAGACTCCAAGTTTAGTCAGGTGTTCTAAATGGTTTTGTGCTTCGTTTTTGCGGGAAGCCCACAAGGACATCAATGTCTGGGGGGAAATGTGCAAGTTTGGGCTGCCACTTTCTGTGATTCCCTTCGGGGAGTCATCTTCAAAATTACATTTCACGGTCATAGGAAATGACTCAACCCACTTTGTGCATTGGCAGAAGAGGGCCTTCGCATTTTCCACGATGCCTGTCCCAGTGCTTTTGTCCATGGGTCTTCCCGTGGCAAGCTTTCGACTGGCTTATGGGGTGCCACATTTTTCCTGGCAGAAGGGGAAGTGACGTGTAGAAAGGGACTCACAAACCATCAGCCAAGTGAAGCTGGAAAAGGAGCAAGCTACTAAGTGTTCCTTGCAGCCCCCCAAAACCCAAAGACTCTTTTTGGGCGTCGACCACCCCTGTTCGGTTGTTGGGAATCAACAGAATTGCGGTGCAAGTCAACAGAACATCTTGGTCCTGAGCAAAAGACCAAGCCACTTGGGAAATGCACAGTGAGGCGCAGTGTGTTTGGAAAGGTGGCTGGAGCAGCCACGACTACTTAGGGCCACTCTCCGCGATACTTCAAGGGAATGCCCTCTAAAGCGACATCCAATAGTCATATGTAATGAAACTTAAACACTCAGAAAGGGCTGACCGCTTTCCATGTGAAAATATTTCATTCCCAGCCGGCGCCGGATTCGACAGGACCTTTGCCGCCACAACTTCGGGCACCACGTGGTGCAGAGCGTGCTGGAGCACGGCCACGAGAGGCACCGCAAGGCGACGACCGAAGCTTTTTCTCGGCCCGGCTTCGGCCTCCCCGGTTTGGAGGGGGGGGGGGACTTAAGAAGGTCCAGGGAGCATCACCCATAGAACATGGCACTTGCTTTTGAAGGCAAAACCACACGAGAGACCAAGGGTTCGAAAATCACCCACACGGGAGCCGAGTCCCCCATTTCAATTTCCACCCATCCAACTGGGTGTCATTTTCTGAGAGCACGCCTTGAAGTGAAGCCACAAGGAAAGTCATGACTTTTCCGGGGTACCCCTATTTTGGCTTTTTCTCTAGGTCTGGCTAGGTCTGGGTTAGGTTTCGGCAGGTGGTGGCGGATGTTCTGAAGTCTGACCTGCTCAGCTTCGCCAAGCACCGGAACGCCAGCTATTTGGTGGAGAAGGCTTTGACCTATTGCGCGCCCCAGGAGCGCGGGGACCGGGGGAGGGGGGGTGGGAGGTATTCCCAGGTTCACATTCACCTCTGCAAAAGGGGGGTAGTTGACAGGTGACCGGCAGAAGGGGAACGGTTGGCGTATAGGTGTGTTGTTTTTGGTTTGGAGTAGTTTTCTTGTGGGTTTGACTGGAGGTGACACCTTTCCTAAAGGGAAGCCGACAAACCAGTTTGGAGCATTCACCTGATATGACAGACTCAGTGAGGCAGGGCCAGTGAATCACAGCACGGCAAATTATGCCACATGTGCCACAATAAAAGTTTTGTTATGTGCTTTGGGGGTTGGCTTCTGCTACGGGGACTATAGCCATCACTCCCACGAGGAGTTTTGCCAGGGGCGATTCCGGAAATGTACCCTTCAGATTCAAACTTGAGTGTAAGATCTCCCCGCCTTGGATCGCAACATGTGTTTGTCTCAGAGTTCGGGTTCCCAAAATCGGTTGGCTCCCTTTTGGCCATAAAGTCATCAAATGAGGACCAGCAATGCTTAAAACTGGGAAACGGGTAGTTTCGCATTGGTTTCGTTCGACCAACCCGACGGGGGGGCTAACCAAAAGACCAAGTCCGCATGTTCGGCCAGGAGTAGGTGGATAGCCACCTGGGTTCTAGCTCACTAATAACAGGGTTAGCTCCACTGAACGCTTATAAGTGGGTTATACCCGAACGGCTACCGTTACAACTTACGCACTTGGCGAATTTGGACCTGAACCCTCCCTATCAACCGGAGCCTCCTGAAACCCGTCATCCGTGCCGTGGATGGTTGCGAAATCCATTTCGCACCACCTTTCAGAAACCCAACGGAATGATGCGATTCCCCAACGTAAATACCAACAAGCCTTATGGTTTCCTTCCCATGGTGTCATTTCGTTGGTGCGAAATGGATGACCTGTCCATCCAACTCGGGCTGCCTAGAGGATCAACACGCCTTGCTGGCGCAGCTGGGCCGCACGGAGGTCATCGTAGACCTGGCGCGGTCCCAATTCGGGTGCTACGTGGCCAAGAGCCTCTTGCAGGATTCGCGCGTCGAGCGCGTCAAGGTCGAGGGCATAAATTGCCTCGGAAGGGGTTGGTCTGAATATATTTGCATCTTTCTTTTCTTGCGCTTATGGGATACTCTCAAAATGGAAGCCTTCTTTTTACATGGTTGGTTTCCGTTTGGTGGTTCCCTTAAAAGCAAACCCCACCCCACAGGCTTCATGTCTGGAACATGTACCAACTGCCGTTCTTGGCACACCTGCATGGAGTGTTTGGGTCTTGTTCACTTAAACATCATGCTTATCAGGTTCTGCTCAGCCACAAGAAGGATCTTGGGGCTGTTGCTTACGATAGAAGAGTTGATTCCAACCATTGTTCCACTCTCTACGATGGGAAGTTGTCACTGGATGATTGAACTGGTAAAGGACAGAACCGCTGAGCGAGGAGTGTGGGGTCGACCACCGAAAGCGCCGGTCACTGGGAAAGCCCGGTACGTCCAATTTGCTAAAGACATTCTTCGCTTCCCCTGTTGGTGCAAAGGGACATGGTCATGAGTGAACGATTTGCTGTTTAGTGGCGCCTTCAACCCAATGGCGTTTAGGAAACAAATGACTGCTTGACCCAGAGGCTTGGCCTTTGAAGGAGCGCCTTTGGCTCGCATTTGGCGCGCAGGACGAGCGAGTGACGGGCAAAGAAGCGCTTTTCAGGATTCAGGTGCGCGGGGCTTGTTGGATCTCAAGATCTTGGGAGAACAACGAGCTTTGCATCCCTGAAATGATGTAAGCCCAAGCTTCCCCAGGGTTTGCCCCAGGATTCCTTAGCGGCGCATGCAAGTCCCTCCTTTGTTTTTGGGGCCTTGCCATGAAGAACGTGAAAATGACAAGGGTTATTTTGACATTTGTTCCTTTCATGAACCGCTTAAAAGTGGCAATGGATGCTTCCAAAGTAGCAAATGCACAACCTGCCTTGCACAAGCGGGTTGGACAGTTGGACCATGTCTTGTGTATAACGAGTCACACCGGCCAAAGCCTTTGCTAGGTGTAGGGGCCACCTCAGGCGCCCCCCTTGCACGATAGGGTTCCTTTTGGAAGGAGCCCAGGTGTTGCACAAGGACGAGCCTTCGAGCGCTTGCCTGTTGATCCCAGGTCTTTTTGTCAGTGGGATGGCATAGGGACATAGGATCCCAGCCTAACCAGAGTCTTGGATGTTTGAGGGTGATGAGGGGAAGGGGGGTGGGTTGCGATGATGTCTCTAGATTCAAAGAAGGGACCCCCAACCTTTTCCATTCGTCAGGGGCTGCCCACCCATCCTCAGTCGCTGTGCTGCCTTATACAACATACTATATATATATATACATAACTACATATAGTCACCCCTCCCCCCTTTCGAGGATTGTAAGAACATTTTATCTGATTTTTCGAGTATGTCTTTGTTTGACAACACCGGTTTTTGTTTTTGTTTGTGTACACATAGACGGCGCAAAACACATCGGACAAACAATGATTTTTGCAGCTTGGAGCCCTGAAACCTGCACAAGCCCCAAAAACAAGAAGCAGAAACTCCAGCCCAAATCCCGAGAGTCTGGGAACATTGGCATTGTTGTTTTGTTTCTTTTGGGCTTTTGCATGTTTTGGAGTTGGATGTATGCATGTTGTGCTGCGTGTTTTCTTTTCCTTTGGTGGGGAAGCGTTGACACATCGAATCCGGGGACCTACTTTCCTCGTGCCTGTTGTGGTACCTTAGATATGGGTGTGTTTTTGCTTGGGACTTGGACCCCCCAAAATGGGTGTTTCCCTTTAAAACCAACCAACACGGGGGCACCCTCAAAGAAAAACAACCGCTATCGCTGAATACAGAGTTGCCAAATGACAACAATATGATGCAGCACCATTGGGACCAGCTGGACATGTTGGAAGCAACGCCCGCAGGCCTCGTCCAACGATTTCCAGAGGACTGGGGCAGCACAGATGGCAAAGGAAGCGCTATCAATTTGCCCGGAGCCGACTTACCAGAGCCACATATGTTTGAGGGTGGTCTTCCTGTAAACCAGAGATCAATGGACCCAGTACCACCAAGAACTGAACCTCTCATGGCGAAGGCATTTGGCCTTGGAGTGTCCTGAGGCATTGGTGTTTTGATTGGGCTTAACGCTGGAGATCTGGGAAGTGTTGAGGCCTGGGCAAGGCTTACAGATCTCATGATTCCCTCCTGTCCTTGTCCCGTGGTTTGGTTGGCATATCCGGCATGCCATTTACCACGGTCTTGCGGCCCAAGGGCCTCGCGAAACAAGTTGCCATAGTTGCCAAAGGCCTTCGCAGCCCCTCAAGGACCTTTAGCAAAGCGCGAAGGGCATCGGGTCCCTTAACACCAGGGTTGGACAACATGTTCCAACGGGCACCCGGTCCGCTGGACGGGAACCGCAAAGGCAGCTTCACCCAATAGTTGAAACAGGGCCAAAGGCCAGTAGAAAAGAAATCTAAGGTTTTTCCAGACGCTTGGACCACAGGACTCGCCACGGTCAGCGCTTGCTGGTGGAGATGGGCTTGGCAGAGGACCGAGAGTAGAGCCTGGCAGTATGCGCCCTGGATAGGCTTGAGTTTTAAAGGAAGACCACAAGGAAACATTCTACTTGGAGGAAACGACTCGCTTTTATGATACAGCTTCTTGCCCTTCCATTCCAACTGAAAACAGGGAAGCGCTACATGACCCCAATTGGAGTTCACCCTCTAAGCGGCGCTGGGGTATGAACCATAAGGTGTCCCTGACGCTTGTCTCATCCGTCCAAAATAGGGGCCCAAAAATAGTAGTGGCACCAGGCCTCAACAAAATCCTACACGCACTTTTTGCGGTTGCTAACCAACCAGGGTCCCCTTCGCCTTCGCCTGAATCCGCATCTTGTAATTTGAATTAAACGGGTGCACCCCAACACAAGCACCGATTACTGGCAATATATGTCTATCGACAATCCCCCCAGCCCAATAACTGAAGACAACTGGCAGTGCTGTCCGTTGCCTCTGCAAGTGTTGGTTGGGAAGGCACCGTCTCTTCTAGGCCTCATTTGCCTTCATTTGGCTTGAAGTGGGCTTAAGCCAAAACACGTCATGCAGTTGCTTACACTCACCCCACTGGTGGTACCCAAATGTAGGCAAATAGAAACTTAAAAAAAACAAAACAAAAAAACAACACATGTGGAGAGAATCTCCTTGTCCGTACCCCGGATGGGTTTCCATGTTGTGTTGACCTTTGGGAGAGAAATGTAACCCCAGGGTGACACAGAAGAGGTCCGGGGCGTCCCACGTTAGAGTCAAGCTTTAGACATGATTTAGTTGGCGCTGGTTGGCAACTTGTCTTGTCTTCATAAGGCTTGCTGAGCCTCAAATTGTTGGGAGGGTCCGGGATGCTTGGCACCTAGTTGATAACCCACTGTTAAATGCCTCAATTGGCGATAGCCATGTAGGCCATGGGAACTAATTACTCACCATCTGGGGCAAGCCTGCCGTGCGAGGGGGCCCTTTGAACCCGGCGCGTTGGATTCCAGCGCAAGTTTGTATTCCCAAATCCGAAAGGCCCAGGAGATGTCTCTTATATTACCCTCACATTGGTGAGCTCGCGAACACGTCCCAGTGCAGACCTGTATCATACATGGCAACCTATAAGCCAAACAACACGGCTGAGATGTGCTCGATCGTGGCCCTCTTGCAACCTGCTTGTAACCCGCGCACACACACAGTTTGTTGGTTGTTCAAGGTTTAGGGAAATGCAGGGACTCCCTGAAGAGGGTTTCCAAGCACTTTGAAGGTGTCTTATAGGGGCATCGGCGTGCTTAGTCACCCCGAAGTTACAAGCCACTTGGCCACTTGCGAGTCCCTTAGATTCCCGACCCCGCCGAGTACCCTTGGCTAATGAATACAGACTACTCTTTAAATACCTGTTCGGCCGGCTCTTTCAAAGGGCCCCTTCGAGCCCTTTCCGGGCTTTTTTTCTTGCGCTGGGCAAGTGAGACGCCTCAGATAGGCACATGCCCACATGGCATTTGGAGAAGGCTGCTTGCCAGAAGAAAGCACTCCATTAGGGAAGGAAAGCGGGCTTGACAGACGTGAGCGTCAAGTTGGGAGTCTATGCTGGGCTGCCCCCCCTCCGCCTACCTTTAAAGTCAAATAAGAGTCGCGTAGTAACATATAGGCTTGAGCAGTTGGGGTTGCTTGCGGCGCTGTTATTTTGGTTGCGCCAGAAGAGCTTTTGCAGAGACCACGCGCTGAGGCGACTGCAGACTGACTCTTCCAGCACTAGAGGCATGATTTGCACCTTCTGCAACATGACAGATGGACACTCATTATGCCTCCGGTTTTAAGCAGAATGGCAGGAATTGGTTGCATGGAGTTTTCTCACGCCACACCGCGGAGTTTTCACCTCAAAAAGGTGGTGTTGCACAGTTTGTTTGCGCCACTCCTCTTTCAAGGCCGGCATGCTTCCGGGCTTGAGGTTATTTATTGCCGGTCTGGCCTTAATTTCCGAACTTCGGCGCACAGAAGCCTGGAAGCACGCTTCCGCCGGTGGCATTTTGAGGAACGCCGTAAGCCGAGGTTGCAAAGGAATTGTCGTTAACGCAAACTAACTAACCCTTGACTGTTCTTGCAAGTTTTTTGTTTTGGTTGTTTTTGGTGGTTCTGTTCATTTTTAGTAGGGGGCTGCAAAAACACGTTCTTGTTTGCAACAATACCAAGGATTTTGAAATTTTGAAGTAACCCTTGGCTGTGGGAGCGGATTTGGGTAGGCTGTAGTGAATAAGGAAACCTGGTCAACTGCGACAGCCGTGAAGGTTCCTTGCACACGGACCCCCCGACTTTGGGTTGGTGAGGTATATTTGCTTGTGTGTGCGCGTGTGTCATGTTTCCTGCATACCCTGCGATTTGTAAGAAGAAGAACCAGCCGACGCACAAAAGCAACATGGGTTCACTGAGCCATACGGGTGTGTCTTTTTTGAGCGTGCCCACAAAATGGTGGGCGTCCTTTTGGTTTCCCTTTAATGCCAACTAACAAGGGGTACCAAACAAAGACAGAGCCATGCACTTGACCTTTGAAGAGCCCTCAACCATTCACCACATCTTGGTCACATTGCTCACGGCGCTTCCTCGTCGGCTTGCGAACTGGAGCCCGGCTGATGGCTCATGGGAGCACCTGGCATCAACTGTACAGAGCAAGCCTCGACAAAACCGTCCCTTTCCCGTGGCGCGGGCACGAGTGACGAAAAGAGAAAGGGGAGGTTTGTCTCAAAATGGGGAGTCCCAAACCCCAGATGCGAGGTTGCAACTGTTGGTTTCCCTTGCAAGTCTAGGACACCGCCGTGTAATCTACAGATTTCAGTGGATGCCCTCCTGAGCAAAGAACTGGGAACCCCCAGCCTTTAGTTTTGTTCTGGACATCCAGAGCTGACCAGTTTTGCTTCTATGCCGGTGTGCAGGTCTATGAATACAGCTGCAGATGGATGTGGGTGTGTCTTTTTTTCAGGGTGCCCTCTTTTTGGTTCTTCTAAAGGCAAACCAAGAGGACACCC